CACTCCGTCCAACATTTCCCGGGCTAACGGAAATTTAATTGCGGACGCGCTTTTTCCGAAGTTCTCAACTTCTCGCATTATTTAGTTACAATTGATTATTGCTTGAGGAATAATTACAGTCGTATGAATATATTACGATTACTCCACATTTATTCCTGCAAAGACTCTCGTAACTTCCAAATAACTGATTCGAGAGAAAGCTAATTGACGAATCTCGGCTCATGTTTCATCGAATGGAAACTCATTATGTAATCGTCAAATGATGCAGCTTGAAATAATACATGAATGTAACCACATCTTATAATATACTATGTACATTATATATATCATGTAATGTGTATACATTATGTAATGTGAAATATCATCCTTTTTATGCCCACACATTATTAGCACATCGACGATCGCTGTATCAATTATAAACGTATGACACGTTATCTCAATATGTCGATTCCGTCTGTATTGACGCGCCATTCCGTCATACTAATAATTATGCGGAGAAGGCAAAACGTTTTCCCGCGATAATAATCGGTAAAGCTCGGGAAGCACGCACCTAGCGCAATCTCATGAATTTCATGTTCTGCCCGTCACGCCTCCGCTCGTTGCCGTTCCGGCCAAAAATCGCCGGAAGCGGTGGCACGCGAGCAGGAGAATGCAAACGACTACGGTGACTTTAATAGCGCGGATTATAAAACAGATCCCGAATCCAAATCTGCGCGCCCGCGCGTGCGTAACGCCACGCTTGAAAATTTAAATCCACTCTACGGATCCATATAATTCCATTATGCCCGCATTTGTAGCAAAGAGCGGCCCCAGCTTACTTTATCGCGCCCGGCCGCGGTTTGAAGAGTGTTTACGCGCGGGACGCGTCCACAAAAGAAGGAGAAAATGAATCCCTCCTCGGCCGGAGAAGAAATTCCTTAACAATCTATTTCGCGCTCGTATCTCCCAGATTGCCAGTGACTGTATATATATACGATTCATCATACTAGTCTTATTAAACGACCGAGAAAGCTTTGCTTAAGCGCGTGTCCGAGTTACAAGTTGTTTGCACCTTCGACAGTGTCGGTGGAAAAAAGCCAACATGCAATCTACATTGCACGCGACTGTGCGATCGTTTATTTTCAGAGGCTGTATTTAAAATCGTGACAACCTTTGGAACATGACATTTCAGAGATTAGGGACAAGTACAAAGTGAATTTCAACCATTACTTTCTGGGCTGGGTAATCAGATTATTCCCACCCCCCCCTCCCCCGTTGCTCAAACTCGTTAAGAGGAATAATGAAATTTTGGAAAATTTGCACGACTGCGCGCAACATGTACGCTGCAATCTCTCAGTCTTGCAAATGACAAAATGAATATTAAACGAGGGAAAATCGAAAAACGGAAAATCGATAAACGAAATGGCCATTTGAAATGCAAGCGACGATAAACTCTCCGCTGTGTTCGACCTTGACACATGATACCAGCAACGAGATCCGGCCGGTTCTTAAAAAATTAACGAGAGTAATAAAGCCGCTGAAATATTTCGCAGCAATTTCCAAACATCTTGTAATTGCGAACGCGAATAAAACACCGGCGCGTTTGCGCGGTTCCCGTTAATGAGGCTCGTTTATCGTCAACGAGAGGATCGTTTTAGACCGTTCTACACGCCGACGTAATTGTTCCGTCGACCGTCCACCGTCGGCCCATCGTTATTTCTGATCGATAATTATTTGATCTCTCCCGACTCGCAAGCGGCTAAAATACTCGAGCACGGGAGAGACGAGCGTCGCCGTTGTCTCGTTGAGCAATAGCGTACCGTCGCGTCGGTTTTACGACGCGCAAAAAGATAAACTGCACCCTCCAAACTTGATTCCGAACGCGCCGATTCTTCCCTATTCTCAGACTGATTCGATTATCTCGAGCGGTCGCGGCCGAACGTGCGAACATAGTGCCAAAGAAGTGAACAAACGGTGAACAAATGCGCGATAAATAATGAGATTTAAAGACTAATTGCCGCACATTCTGTAACCTGTTAGCGAAGCGCACCGGGTGAAATTTCGTTCACACCGTTCGTACATCCGGCGGCACGAGAGAAACTTAGTATAGAACCGAGGAAACGTTGTTTAATGTGATTTATATTAATCCAATGTATGTATATTAAATATAATAAATATGAAATATTATATCAAAGAGCCCGAGACTGATGTGCCTGTAATAATCCCGTACATAATCTCTTCCTCAACTTTAGAGATAACTTAACTGTAAGTACGTTTAAACGTTTTGCAAGTTCCCAGGAATATTATTGCAAGCCAAAAATGAAAGGTGTTCATCGATAAGTTTCGCTTTTAGCTTCCGAAAAGGTATATAATCCTTCCGTGAGATATCCCAAGGTGTAAACAGGAAACTGAAATAAAGAAACTGTACCGTGCGTATGAAAATTTAATTTTCCAAGGAGAGAAAAAAATACGAGATACGAGATGTAAATGCAAAGTTATTCTGAAAATGCATTATCCCGCATTGTCATCGCGGATTTGGTATTTCTCTCACGTTTAAATTGTCGAGATACTGTCTGCTTCGCTTGATTCCGGAATCGTGTTTTTTCCAGGATTTAGCATGCATCGCTCGTGGATTTCGGGCGGGAAAAAAAAGGCAAGATATCTCGAGTCGACGCAATTTCTGTACGATAAATTTCCGGTGTACGTTGTTCCGCATTTCTCATCTCGCCGTTCTAATTTACCGATGTTTCACATGTGTTTGCCGCATTGTCCGTCGCATTATTAAGTTAGTAGCTGAAGGTGAGATAAAAATAACGAAAAAAAAAACGATTATCATAAATATTATATCCCATCTAAAAAAAAAAATGAATATTCTCATTGGTTCCTGATGTTGTCCGCAATGCCGGTCAGTTACTCTCTCGATCTTAATCCTTGATGCGTCGACATTATTCGTACATGTATTTATCCTTCTGGAATTCAGCAGTGGCATTATCCCTGAATTTTGTGGGGATAACCACCACCCATTATTTTTATCATTTAAATAAAAAATTCTCTCATTTCTGAATGTTCAGTATGTTGACGTTTATCGACTAAAACTTGCTCTTTGTTTCAGATTCGACGAAACTCGTGACTTGGGTACGTTTCTTGGAAAATACAATTTCGCTGGATGAGGATACTGTACCTGTATATCTGAGGATCTCGCTCGGGCTGAACAGAATTGACTTCACTAATCGAGATTATTGCAATTTACGTGGTTGAGCTAAGATCTTTCTTAAATTTGGAAATATTAACAAAATTCTAAGACTTTTACAATAAAACATTCAAAAAACAAACATCAATCCTTTTTCGTCCAATCTACGAGTATATATTTCATAATTATCGCACAGAAGGGTCAAGTAGGAGTCACTGAAAATGAAGGAAGATCTGCAGAGAGAGAGAGAGAGAGAGAGAGAGAGAGAGAGAGAGAGAGAGAGAGAGAGAGAGAGAGAGGAAACAGGAATAAAAAAGAAAGAACAAAAAAAGAGATAGCGAAGAAGAGAGATTGCAGGGTGTAATCTCTGAACGGTAACGAGATAAACGAAAATGAAGAGGATAGTTTATAACAGTCTGGAAAGATTTATATCGGTGGAAGAGCGTCGAAACAGAGCAATGTACAGGCGGTCCGATGCAGCAGCTGTAACGGCGACGCGTCGCTCTGGTAAAATTAGGTAACAACTTCGATAACTCCGGCGCGCGCATATAACGCGCTTAAGCCGAATGTATTGCGGCCGAGAGCAGGCTCAGCGTCGACACTCTGCAATGTTGCTCCGCCGCAGCTGCATTAATTACACCAATCGACTATCTTTTCTTGTTCGGTAATCACCGAGGCCGGCCGTATTCTCTGTTCAAACAATTATCGTAGTAGTTCAATCCCTATCTAGTCTTTCCCGATTCAATTTAGCCGTGTTCGAATTCAGGATTCGATTGAAAATTCTCACCGCTCGATATCCCTTGCCCACTCGCATGTGCGCAGTTCGAAGAGATTTTCGCCGGGACGAAAATAATACGAGTGAAGTAATTCGGATAAATCTGTTACAGACTATGTCCTTGTCAGAACAAATGTCTCTTGACTTTACAAGTAACATTTATATCTATCGCGACGAGCGGGGACGGATTCCTCGCTCGAACAAGTACCTTCGTCGCGGAAAAGATTCTCCGCGATTTCCCCGCGAGCATTCCTTCAGTTTCTCGTGATTTCTGACAAAGTCGAGTCTCCGGCATCGATCGGCCACGCACGACACGGCACGACACGTTACCGACCGCTTGTAATTCCCATTAGAGACGCACATACTCGAAGCGTCCGCTCGCTGTAAGGCGCGGTGCATACAAGCGGTCGACCCGCACGATATTACAACGTGCAGGGACATGGTATCCTGAGTAACAGCCATGTCCGCCGGCATTAATTAGCGGGGAAAGACGACGCGGAACAACGCGATAGTTGCCGCGTTTTCCGATGTCGCCCCGTTGATCCGAGCGTCGCCTGTCGGTTGCATCTCTCTAATGCGACGTTCCACACGTGAATTTTCCCCACAATTAACTCTCAAACATCGAATCGATCTTAGATGGTTTGTAATTCGCGACAGAATACCCGCGATTAATCCGCGTCTTAATTTCTATGTCTTGTAACTATGAAATTACACTGTTATTATAAATACGCAATTAAACATACGCTTTTGATATGTTCTGAAAGTTGATTTGCTGAAGGGATGTTGAAGTTATTATCTCTACTGCCTCGTACTCGCGCGCTAAGTGACTGCTAAGTGAGGAGACGGACCGCACAGTCTGACTAGCTATTTACATGGTGACGGAGTAGGATAGGTCAGAACGTAGACGTACCTGGACTGCGCGTCCTCCCAAATTTCAGGAGGTAGATCTCACGTAGGAGAGGATGTTCTCTTTCACGTACACACAAGAGAAATTTATAATTATTTGTGATATGAATTAAGATTGCTGCTGCGTCCTGAGTAGCAATGTTCATTTTTATTCATGTTTTTATTTATTAATTTATAACATTCAGTTCGTAACATTGAAGTCCATAATAAAACACTTGGTTGAATGCATTGATTTTATGTCTATTCTTGAGCAAGGTTAATTTCTGGAATATCTATTTTGTCAAAAAAGAAAAAGTCCACGTATATACCTTTTGTTGCACACTGATTTGGATATTTTCTCTCCTTTGTATCAATACTTGATATATTACTTTACTTTGATATATTACTTGTAAAGTCTATTTGTGAAGTAGATAAAATCGGCATAATTTCGGCGATAGGTCAAAATGTTATTGACATTTTTAACTTCACCCATAGACGAGGGCATTTTTCCATCAGAGATTGTCGTCCACTTTAGCATAGTCCACTTTAGCTCAATACTATATAGTTAATATTATTTGATAATTATCATATACATACGTGCGATTTTATACACGCGTATAAAAATGAAAGAGGCGTGAAAGTATTCTCGAAAGTCAAATCACATGCACGCACGCACTATCACTGTGTATAATAATCTCAGAAAAGTCGTTCGATATTTACAGAGGTGCATCCTCGCGTCTTATCGGGCCAATTTCTCTCACGATTGAATATCCAAGATAGGCTAAACTTTTTCCGAAGAATTATCGTACGACGGATTAACCACCGCCGTGCTGACGCTGGCGTTATCCGGCGTATTTCTCTCTGTAGCCGGTCCCCACAGTGGAGAAGGTCGGAACAAACTTCGGTAACTCTGCGAACAATCAAGAAGGCGCAAATTAAATCGTCGCCGATCCGATAACGGATACACGCCGCCGCGTCCCTGCCGCGGTCGCTGCCACTTATGTACTCTCACGGGGTGATATCTCCATGTGGAACCTCCGCGCGAGTACCTCCGAGGTGCATACGGAGCGGCCGAAAACAACGGAAGAGAAGGTAGATAAAAGTAATGTTAAATTTATCGGTTAACGGAGAGCGGAAGAGAGCGGTCAAGAAAGGGGGTTTGGTCGGGCTCTCTTACTCTTTGTTTCTTTCTCGCTCGCTCTCCGTAAAAATAGGTGCGATCCGGAACGATGGAGAGCGGCGGGTTCGCGGAGGAACTTTTCGTTTCAAAGTACGATTACCTACGTACCGTGGAAGAACTTGTATTAAGACGTTCCGCGAGTTCTTGAGATTTTACGGCGCGAGTCGGGCTAACTTTTTAACCGGTACGCAACCACCGGCCTTCGAGAAATTTTCATTCTAATCAGGAAGGCGCAAATACAATAGCATCACGTCGACGTTAAATCGTCGCTCTTTAATGCTTTTGTTGATAAAGAAAATGGTTAATGATGCTCGTCTGCATACATTTCCATCGGAAAAATTAACGTAACTAACTAGCTTTTACATGTACGTGCATAGACTCTAGTTAACTCGACGAAGTTTAAAAGGGAACGATCAACAAAGAGAACAAGTTACAAAGAAACAAGTGGCGCTTTATCCCCGACTATCGCTTACGTTTTTTTTTTTTTTTACCAAAAATGTATGGCCTATAAGTTCGTTTTATTTTAATAAATTCATCGAAAGGGCGAGGCAATAAAAAATCGCACCAAAAAAATGCTTGTTCTTTCCAGATAATTTTCTCCCTTTTTTGGGTTCTCTCCGGCTTTTTTTCCGAATGATTGAAAACTCGAACTTTGGTTTAAAAAATTTCTCACGTTTTCTCATCCGATGAATGTTTCACAGAAAAAAAATGATCTCTAACTGCCAACGCATACAAGCGTATCTACATATGCGCGTATTTGTTAAGATATTTTTTTCGTGAGTTTCTCTCCAAGCTTTTAAAATCTCCGATATGTTGATTATAGATCACATCAGTCGATTGACAGAAGCCTTGAATCACTCAGCCAGAGTGAGCTATCTCTCACCTTTGTTTGCCACAGTTTCAAAACGAAGAAGATTGGCATCGGCGCCAAAGTCGACAATCCGATCAGTATTCCAATCGCGTCCGCCCATGGAGGGAATGCATACGAGCCGTAAGTTGCCGCAGTGTAGGTACTCGTTTGATATACAAAGACTCCCTGTAGATAAAAAACGGAGCTCGGTTAGTCGAGTGGCGGTCGCGTTTCTCACGTACGACACGGTAGGGATATTGTGAAAAGCGTCCGGTAATTCCGAGACTTTTCTCTCTCTAACACGAAAATAATCCTAAATTTCGAAACCTCCAGCCGACGTCGCATCGCTTGTTTACTCATTGACACATCTCTGAGCTTACATATTTTTCTCCGATATACATACGTAAATACGTAAATATCGAATTTAGAAGGCAGAGTTGCACTCGCACGCTAGAAGCGAGTAAGCACTCGAAGGCATTTATTTTTTTTCAGTCTCAACCGTGAACGTCCGAATTGGTAAACGGCGATTCGTTTAATTCGCAGCGCACGAAATTTCGATAATTACTTCGTGCAACTAGGAAACGCAACTACAATGGCGCGGGAGGATGCGCGAACGGGATGCGGAAACGCGACGCAATTATCAATTAAAAGAGATTTCATATTTTTAATCAAAACTAACTTCCGCAGGGTACACACTGTGAGCCGGCGCGTCCGCCGAGGGAGATATTTCAGCCCCTGCGAACAACCGTGCGCGGACAAAATTCAGCCGTTATAAATAAAAATTCGCTTGGCGTGCCCCCGGACAGGCAGTCGGATTAATTAAGCAGTTTGGTCATGGGAAATACGACGACACTTTGCCTCCTAGGGCCGCGAACGTCCGTACCGTAGAACGGGTGTTGCGGCTGTTAAAACTGATAAAATCTACCCCGGAATTCGACATTATTGAGATAAACTCGAGCACATTCTCTTGGACTTCGTGAATAAAACTTGTACTGGCAAGTAGTTTCATTCAAATAAATCCTTGGACCAATGAAAAAGAAGAAATACGAAATCAATACGATAAAATGTTGGTCTCATATTTTAGTTGCCTAACTAATTACTGACCTAATTTAGCAAAGAATCTACGTGCGGTCGTATGACATTTTCTTTCTCAAAAAACAATCTGCGTCTAATACAAATCGTCGAAGTTTCCTAAAGTTTCTCTATGAGGCAATTTGCATAACTTGAAAAAATTAAGGATTATTTGCAGACGGCATTGTTCTCTACGATGCACCTCAGCACAGTGGCCTAAAACTCTCAAGTTTTTGCTTTCCATATAAATTCGATTAGTCGTCTACAGAAGACAGTCGGGACTAATACACGCGAGGTGCCTTCCCTCTGTCTCTTTCACTGTGTCACCGAACTTTCTGCAAACTTTACAGTCAATAAACGTAGACTCCTTACTCCGATAGGATTAAGCACCATTATGCTGTATCTTCCTCTCGTTATTACCGTCGATTGTATCGCTTGACAAATATACTCGCGACACTGTCGTTAAAGTTTTGGTCGTCGCATTGAGTTTACTCAGAAGCGTATAAAGATAAGGGCCGAGATAACTTATTTCAATAACAATGACGAATCGAGACGATGTAAGATCAAAGTTTATACTGCTGCGAGAAATGTTCAAGTTTCGTGTACTTCTAGTGGCGCTGCAAAGTATCATACACAATTTTGACGTTCTTTAAACATATAAAAAAGTTTTACGGCGAAACTCTCAAAAGCGTCCACGCTGCAATTTAGATCAACTCTCGTAAGTAAGTTCATTTTTGCGACTCAGACATTAAAAAACATTTTAATTATCTCTCTCTTCATGTTTTCTGAATACATATTAATATACGCCTCTGCGCGGTGACACTTATATATGTTATCAAGTTCATTGCTCTACGTAAAATTCAGAATATCTTAACCGTCGCTCATTGTTTATTATTCACAAAAAAATTTGAAGGACATGCTAGTTAACTTTAGTATTGAAAAACATACTTTGCTGGTTTGTATGAAGAAACACGCCTTTCACTCCGCGAAAAAGACTAACGCAACGCCTTATTTCCGGCTAGCAAGTGCAAAGTATTTAATATTTACCACATTTACAATCTTTAATTCAATTTAATTACAAATCTATATAACGGCTTATAAAGTTAAACAATTTGCAACAAATTGCTTCATGCAATTACGTACGTGTGCGTTTGTCTGTGTAGCTTTAAGATACTTCATAGATTCAATGGAAATCTCTGAGCTAATAGATACCTCATAGCCGGCGCAAACTTCGCCAGTTATGAAAGGATTGAGCCTTGATGAATACGCTACGATGAGGCGAACTTACCAGACAAGTAAGAGGTGCTAAGACGACCCAGCTGACCCACCAGTAGCCACTGAGGAAACGGCCGAAACGCATACCCATTTCGGCGACATTACCTAAAAGTTTATTGCAGCCGTAGCACCAAGAAGCCTCGCAGACCTCGGCGACTCCGATCAGCAAGATCGCCCAGGAGGCGGTGTTCCAGTCCATCAGTGTAAATAGATAGATACCTCCGTTGAACACCATCGGAATCGCCAGCAACCAGCAAACAACGCATATACCCACGATCACGAGACTCTCGTGTTTTCGCAAATCCGGTCGCTTGTCCAGTATGGCGGTATTTATCGCTTGCACACCTGCGAACTACAGTAAAAAAAAAAGAAAAAAATGAAGAGTAACGACGGTGTTTCGTTTTTCTCCATTTTCTCTTGAAAATGGACCTAGACATGGCTACGGATCAATAATACACTTGTGATCTTATGGATCCCATTTCCTTTTGAGATCAACATGTAATCAAGCTAATTAACTAACATCGACTTAAATAAAAATTTGCAAAACGATTTTCAAAGCATGGCTTATTTTTTAGGAAAATTTGTGCGCACAAAGAGCTCCGTCCCTCCCTGCCGCTCATATCTACTATTTAATATCTTTTAATGTATCTTTTAATGTATATTATGCCGGAAAAATAGAGCCTATCTATGAATTATCTTTTGTCAATAACTTTTTAACAAACAATGGCTGAAACCTTTCGTATCTTACTCAAGAGAGTCAGTGCTGTATAATATGCGCCGTTATCAAAGCCATCGGAGGTGCCTCTTCTAAACGAGACTTTTGCGGAGGATATATATTTACTAAAACGTTTTCATTAATTTTTTTATGTAGAATTTATTCTATGAGCTTGTCGGTGAAGTTTAAATATTCTATTTAAATAATATCACCAGTAAATATGATATAATTGTTGATCGCTACCTGTACAATTTTTATAAGTTACTTAAAGTCACGTCTTTGATAACATATATGAAGGTTACAGGTATCGAGCATGACATCAGTTATCTGCCAAGTAATTTTATGGAAGTGTGCGCATTACCGCTTTCCTTTGAGAAAAATACAATGCTTCATATGACGATTCTATAAAAGTGCTCATGGGAACGGAAGAACAGAAGTTGAAGATCAAAAGTAGGAAGAATTCCAGAAAAAAGGAAATTCTACAAGAAAGGACATAGTTCAAATAAAACCCATAAAACATTTTTCCCAGAATATAATAGACTTGACAGGATTTGTCTGGTTATTAGTGGTCTTTCGTTACCCAGAGCCCATATCCTTCCTCAGTGAATAACTTCTGAGACAACCTATTCGCCTATTCTTATTTACGAACTTTATGGTTTAATGAAAACCATATGGTCAACAGCCTACGATAAGGCATATATAATAGCATAGGCAAAATGTAAAAGAAAAAAGTAAAAGAGAAAATATAAAAGAATGGAACTTGATAATACTAAAGGAATGCCGGCATTTCTTAAAGAAAACGAAGGGCAAGATGTAAGAAATTTTACAACCATACCCTTCGTTTGGCTACAATAATGATTTATTATAATGTATTATATGATAGTTTTTCTTTCCGGAAAAATGCTAAAACGTCACAAGGTGATCTTGTCGATGGAACAGCATGAGTCTTAGAATCACAAATATGTCGTACAAATTTTCAGCTAACAAACGTAAAATAGCTTGAAAGGGATTCCGAGAATTTCAGTTTCTGAAAAGTAAAGAATTAGTTTATAACAGAGCTCGGCAAAATGTGCACGCGACGGCCGATTTTTTACTATCTCCGCCCACCGCTATTGCCTTTACCTCGCCGCTCGAACCTCAGGAGCATGTTTCCAATAGTTTTCCACGTCACCCATGAGGTACTATTGTGGACGCGTTTTTTTAAGTGGTATCCCCAGTAAGCCTAATCCACTGATGACTATAACAACTCGTAACTAATTGAACAGAAGCGAAATAAAATATGTTAAATGAAGAATATTCAATTCGATTTTCGGCGTCTTTTATTGGTAAGAGTGGAAACGTCAATTTGGACATTGCATGTAGCGAGCCGCATAAGACGTGGTAAGGAATCGTCGCTTAAAGAAGAATACTTCTCATTTTTTATAAACTTCATTTTTGAAAAATGAAGAGGCCTACTGGGGATACCACTTAAAAAAGACGCGTCAACAATAGTACCTCATGGGTGATGTGGAAAACTATTGGAAATATGCTCCTGAGGTTCGAGCGGTTTGTAGGCAGCGCGCGGAGCGGCGAGGTAAAGGCAATAGCGGTGGGCGGAGATAGTCGAAAATCGGCCGTCGCGTGCACATTCTGCCGAGCTCTGGTTTATAATAAACATCAGCATCCGTTCGTTTCCCCATACAATTCACTTGGCAAAGGACAGGTTCCCGATCGCTAACTCGATTTGAATTTAGGAGTGTTCTAAGAAATTCGAAACATAATACGGTCGCTTGTAGTACGCGCAGCGCGTATCATTTCGCTCCATTTGCCGTGCGCGCGCGCGCGCACGCGAACTATTTCGAATAATCAGAGAAGACAGAGAAGCCGGACCGAGCGAATGCACAACTCTCTGGAACAAATGCAGTTAGCGCGACGATGTTTCTCGTTACGCGGGAGAAAATTGAAATTCGCATCTCTTCCAACCTCACGCCCTCTCCGACCGTCCTACTCGCCCGAACCTGTAATTATTTTTCTCATTATCATAAGTAACATAAGCAAGAGCGCCATGTTGTCCGTACTTCTTGAAAAATAGACATAATATTTTTAATCTCTCCGACTGTCGATCGTCAAACAGTCGCCAAGGACTCACGTGTCGATCTTCGATAGTCGATCAGTGAAGCCAGTAGGCAACTTTCCACCTTCTTTAGACCTTCTTTAAACCTTCAAGCTTCATTAAATTCTTTAAACCTTCAAGCTTCATTAAATTCCAGTTACTTCATTAAAAGACATAAAAAGACAGAAAAATGCTTCGCGCAATCGCGCAAATAAGCGCTCTCGCGTTTATTGCTCCCGGCTCTCATTGAGTAACTTTACACGGCGAATAGCCGTTCTGTAACCGAAAAAAGTTAAACAGGCGCGGAAACATGTAAGAGCGAATTTTGCGATGCGCGAGAGGCATGCACTCATCCGTATTAATTTCTTCTCTATTTCTCATTTTAGACGAAAAATGATTGGCGGGAAGAAGCGCGTTAAAGTGGGTAACAAAATTAGCAAAGCTCACGGTGTATACTCACTTGGCTGCCAATACCGAGAATGAAGAGCATGAAGAAAAACAGGATGGCCCAGAGATTGGGTAGCGGCATTCGCACCACCGCTTCCGGGTAAGCAATAAAAGCTAATCCCGGGCCGCTTTGTACGACGTCGTTAATTCGCACATGCATCTGCTGGGCCAGGAATCCGAGTACCGAGAATATCACGAAACCAGCGAAAACGGACGTGAAAAGATTAGTGATGCTAACGAAGATGGCGTCTCTGGCGACAGAAGAATCAAAGGATCACCGTCACTGGCTGACAGACGTAACTCAATGAATTATCGAGATCGAACAACTCTTTCCGTCGAAACCAAAAACGGAGAGGCGATATTGCACGTGACAGAATTCGACTCCATACAGTACAACCTATCTATAATCCTACCTATGGCAATTGTTGGTGAACTTGCTGTAGCTCGAGAGGGTGACCAGAGAACCACAGCTGATGCCGAGCGAGTAAAAGATTTGGGAGGCCGCGTCTCCCCAGACTTTAGCGTTCTTCAGAGTGGACCAGTTGGGAGTGATGTACCATATAATCCCTTCGGTTGCACCCTCTCCTAGCGAAACACCTGTGCGAACATCGTCCTGAGTCACAGCCGCGGTACGGGATTATTGGATCTCTGCGCGAGACCCTGCGCTATATTCTCGTGCGATCTATATACAGGTATTATCCACGCTAGTGGGCAAGCGTCTCTCGTTTCTGGTTCTTACCTCGTATCAGCAGCGCTATCAGGACAACGTAAGGAAAAATCGCTGTGAAGTAGACAATTTTACCAACGCTCTGAACCCCGCGTATCAGGCAAAGGCAGCAAATGATCCAGGCTAGGGTGAGGCAGCCGAAGACCTCCCATCGTATGCTGCCGAAGTTCTCCCATGTGGCGCCGCGTATACCGAGAACGTAGTCGCTGGATGTGATCGACAATTACACGCTTTTGCAGGCGTAAGCACGCGTAATTTTCTCTGCTTGCTCCTCAACGCTGAACAGCGGCGTAAGGTTCGTTACCGATCCTCCGACACGATGCAGCGCTGATGACAATATATACACCGTGTCCCACTTCCACCGCATTATTTCGTAATGGCAGGTTCTCCGAACAATTGAGAGTCGATTTTTCCTCGGCGAAAATGGCCAGCGAAAGTTATTGCGATTGCGTCGCAACTTTTCAGTTCTGAATATTACGTATTTTCCGAGCCGATCCCTAAATCAAGATTCTGTCGAGGTGGATTTCAAGCAAAATTTGCTGGAGAATGCTTAATTTTGGTCTCCCATTCAGCTTCTCAAGATTCGGTTTGCGAAGAACGTCTCTCTCTGCAATGTGAAAACTATCGGTGCGTCGATATTTTCGTCGAAGATAAATGAACTCCAGAAATTGAACCAAAGATCTGTCGTTCAAAAATAATAAAATTGAAGTGGGACATACTGTATATATCGTACCTATAGTATTCTTCGGATGACAATACCCGAATATAGAGTTTACCGAATGGCTGGAAATTTCCACTGCTGTTAAAACAACCGGTGATGTTGCCGTCATCGTATTTGAAATTTTGACAGACTTGCTGGATGCTCATGCAAGTCTTGTTGTAAAACATGCTGCTCTTGTCATTCTCTTGGCACTTTATATCCTCGAGGCCGCTGTAACAATCTGCCCACATCGACATTAATATTTGAAGAATGAATGCCTACATACACATACACACACACACACACACACAGAAACGAACAGCTCGCGCCTGACACTAAAATACGAAAAGAAAATTCCTGATTTTTAAGTATGAAATATTAAGGTCCGGAATTATCCGTAAAATACAAGTTTTCATAAATGATCGTCGTATTAAATTTACTATTCGAGGAAAGATGCGCTATAGTCTTCGACATTATTATATATCGCATAACACGAAAGTTTCCCCGCACGCGTTTTACATAAAAGTTAATAAAGTCTTCGGTGGATTTTGCTGGCTCTTCGATATTTTGTAATTTATAAGTCGTCAGGCAAAAGTTACGATCGAAGTTACAAAGTTGTAGAACACAGCGAAATATCTTTTCCCGTAAAAGAAATGTTATCAGGTCACATTAGGCGTATTTATGTAGTTTGTTGATCGAAGTAAAATCTGTCAGAGTCCGTTTTCGCAGCCGCCTGATTTTTACTTACTCATTGTATTGAAATCGTTATCGCAATAAGCCCAGGCGAGTTTCGTCGAGAAGGACGCGAAAATGTAGAATAAAGTCCACGCAACGATTACCATATAATATATAAGCACCAAAGCTATTACGACCAGGGTGGAATAACCCACGCCGTGAAAAGCAGGTGCCATACGGCTGAAAGCCTTTACGGGCCCAAGTGCAGTGTACTGTCCCAAACAAAGCTCCAGGTAGAAGATGGGTAAACCCATTGTTATCAACATGAGAACAAAGGGTATCAGGAAAGCACCTATAATAAAGGTCAACGACCCCGAGTTACAATTTTAAGAAAACTTCAAGGTTACATTTTTATTGCACTCTCTCTCTCTCTCTCTCTCTCTCTCTCTCTCTCTCTCTCTCTCTCTCTCTCTCTCTCTCTCTCTCTCTCTCTCCTTTCACGTCTACACGTTACACTGTCTTTTCAAAACTTCCTTTCCTTTCTTTTCCTTTCTAACCTTTTTTTTTCTTCCAGTAAACAGCTGCTCGCGACAGCGTAACAATAAAACCCGTATTCGCTCGGAGGAAAAAACTCTGGCTACGCGATAAGAATTTCTCATGTCTCGGACAGTTCGAACGTACAAAGCGTGAGACACAGGACGATCCGTAGAATCGATTAAGCAGATAGTCGAATATTCGGCAAATCCGAACTGTATTTACGGCTTACTCGTAGCTGAGGCAAACGTTTTACGCGTATATGCCGCAGGACGGATACGGTTACACGCGTGCGTGCGCGCGTATGTACGTACGTACCGCCGCCATTACGATATATGAGGTAAGGGAAACGCCAAACATTGCCGATGCCAACGGCATACCCGATGCAGGATAGAACAAACTCGATCGGATTAGACCAGCTACCCCGCTCCGGCCCGTCCAACGGACGCTCCACCAAAGCCCCGCCGACGCCGAGAGAAACCCTCTTTGCCTGCCAATAACATACGGGAACTGCGTTATAATATTTGCATCATATAAGTTACTTTCGCGAATCGACGCCAAGGGAAAGATCCGACGCCGGACCGCTCGGCATCGCCGCGAGTACATAAACGGCTGAGGGTGAAAAAAAAATGGACGTACATCGTATACGTTCTTCGAAACCTGAGACGTATTTGTGTAATGAGATTACGGGCATGCTCGACTCGACTCGATTCGCATTTATCTCTCAACAATACAGCGGTAAAATATTTAATCTGACCGAGTCGTGACAGAAGATAAGATCTCATCAGACTGATTATTTTTCTTTCCACTTTTTTAATGTAATTTAGTACCGAAGAATTTGTAGTCTTTTTTATCGAAGTTTACACGTTCTTGCGACATAATTAGTATCGATAGATAAATATCAGATAAGAGAGAAAAGAATTGAATATATAAGATAAAGTTAACGACACACGGGAATAAAGAAGGAGGATAATTTTCTGTGGGCATAGATAAAGAAAAAGGAATATCTCATCTATCTAGAATACATTATGGATTTTTACGGTTTAATGATAACATTGTGAGCGTCTCATGAACGATAATAGAAAAGAACGATAATAGAAAAGAAACCTAAGAGTTAATGATTCGATCTAATGATCGAAAGAAAAGCAACACAAAAGTAAAACTTGTGATTGTGAAACGAAAATGACCTTTATTTTCGAAGTAGGACAAAGAGAAATCGCTGATCAGAATTCGTGCGATATTATATCTGATATCATTGTTAATAAGAAAAAATAACAATTTAACTGTCCGAATGAAAAATCGTCTCATACAAACAGTTCGTACAAAGGTGAAAGTTCTTCGTTCTTCAACATGTCAAACAGTGTAAGACAGCGACTCAAAGAATTTTCCACGCCTAACATTTAAAGCTAACAGAGTAAAAACCCTACAATAGCCGTTGATAAATGGAAGATTTCGAGGTCAGGTCATCTTCCGAAGAAATATTGAAATTTTCAATTACACGCTCGTGAAAACGCATTCGCATCAGAAGAGACACTAACCTTCGAAGACGTTCTTCTAGATTCCGCCATCGTCGTTATATAAAATAAAAAACCCGATTTAACTGTCACCACTTCGATCCTTCCTCGAGACTACGTTGACGACTGTCTGGGCGCCTTCATCGTGATTGCACGGCTATAACATACCGTAACATTAAGTAGCGAGATAATACCCAAGAGCCATTATCGAGATGTGTCCCACTCGAACAAATACATTCGAGCATAAACAAATCCCACCTCTCTATCGCATTTAACAACGTAACGCGTTATAATCTTTTTCTCTCCTCGTCCTCCTCCTCCTCCTTCTCTCTCTCTCTCTCTCTCTCTCTCTCTCTCTCTCTCTCTCTCTCTCTCTCTCTCTCTCTCTCAGTTATTCACAAATAATTCCTGATACCGCGACGCACAGAAAAATACGGTATAATACTTCAAGTTTTCATTAATAATAACGCCGTGAAGTATCGCGACGTTCATATAAATTCTGATAAGTTAACAAAGTCGCTAGGCTTATAGATAACGAGAGCGTTTGCCCGCAAAACGTTGGTTTATGCGAAGTTGAACGACTGAACCTATATACGGGCGTACGTGACTTCGTTTTCTGTATCTATAATATGTACCTGGAGAATTATATGATCGAACAATGCATTATAAAAGTGTTCTTCAATCTTGCCGCAGGTGTTATCTCGGAAATATTAAGATATTAGATATTCTGTCGCTCGAGTGAAATATGATTATATTATAATAATTGAACATTGTTGCATATTACACAAAAAAGTGCATATATGTTACTCGAAACACACATACGTCTGTCCTTGATGGAAGAACGATTGATAATAAAACACAGATAAAATATCGTTTATTTAATTACTAGTGAAATCAATTTTGCTTATCTCCATCGCCATAGCGATCCCTTGGAAAATATAAAAAAAAGACAGCTCGAAGTATAATCTTCCTGTTACAATCACCGTCTTATCGGAGCCTCCCTATTACAATTATCGTCTTATCAGAGATGTCAATCGTTCGTAATTATCCGCAACGGCATTATCATACACCGACGTGTGACGTTATCTAAAGATAAGCTGGAAGAATATCTTAAATAAATCTTTTTAAACTCTATTTTCTAACTGGACGTATACCAGACAATAGCGATCAATCCCGTCCGTGAGATATCTCAGGATAATGAGATATTGAAGAAGAAAGGAGTCAATGCAGCTGCTTTGAAAAAAAAAAAAAGAAAGAAAGAAAAAGCTCATGTAAAACCGAAATTGGACGTTATCGATTTTTATTGTTGCTCCACCGCCATTCCGCGCTGGTTGAATAATTGAGTTCGTAATCCAGAGATATTAGTTAAAGAGGTAATTTCATATTTAAAATTGAGCGAATTATGGTCTCGGTATCTCCATGTCCGTGCTGAACTTGTCATCCGGTATTACGGAGAGCCTCTCGCGCTTCTCTGAAATAGGATCCAGATTAGAAACGTTCGGTTGACACACACGAGTCGAAGGAATCGAAAGGACCGCGGCGCCTATTATTTTCCCAACGCGGGGTAGTTCCATAATTCATAAAGTTTGTCGCAGCTCCCTTTTTCTCTGTCAGGTTGAATCTTTATAAACGATAACTTCGCGCTTGCGTTTGCCTTCCGACTGGAATCGGTGCTCCGTATGTGCCACTCCGAGGGCGAGTTTGCAAATCGTCTCTTTTATCCCGTCGCTCCGCGGGAGCAGATTTGCTCGCCTTTCCTGCCCGCTTCCATCCTCTATCACGATGCTACTGCATACGCGATTGGACGATAGCGAGATCATTCCTTTTCCGGTCCTCTCGAATAAAACAGTTTTTTCCCTGTCGCCAACATTTCCGCGATAAAGTAGTACATCCGATCTTTTTTCTTCCTCTTTTTTTTTACTACGGTCGTCTCCTTTCGTCTTTGAATTCCACTGTAGCCGCAACCTGAATTTGAACATTATTCGAGGAAGACAGGAAGGGGGGGGGAGAGAGAGAGAGAGAGAGAGAGAGAGAGAGAGAGAGAGAGAATATGCTTTTTTATTAAAACAAAAGATGCAGTAAATTTAGCTAAAGTTTTATTTATATACATTTCTTCGACTTTGTAAATAATGCCAATATCATGTTCATAAATAACGAATATTGATCTCACTTGAGTTAACGCTCATCCAGTTAAATTAATTTACTTTCGAATACAAATTTGGTAATTGTTCACATTACCGAAGAGAATTTTCCTGGAAATTTTCTTTACATTTAAAACGAGGAGAAAGAAGTAATCCTCGTTAACAACGAATGCACGTTTCTTCGAGTCGAAGATCCTACGAAGATCGACAATTGACAATGCGTTTCTGTCTTAATTGTCTTAAAGGGATATTGGAGAAGCCGTCGAACTCCGATAATGGAAAAACGTTGGATTTCATCGAATACTCGTTGCTCGCACTTTTCCGAAACAGAAACACGCGAGAGCATAATCCTGGTGATATTTCCGATCGCGAGCCAGTCGATGAGATTCGCGCGGAGCTTTTCGCACGCTTGTAACTTTATTTACAACGCGAATTTACAAATAGCTAGAAATGGAGAGTGATGTTACACGGTATGTACGTACAGCACATACGTGTTATACGTACATACGCCGTTTTGCGAGCTGAACGTTATTGCGAGGCAATATCTCCAACTTGGTCAATTCGATAGTTTATCTCTGGTCGCTTTATTGCGTTTGGCCGGCTCGCGGCGCGCTAATGCAAATGTTTTTTTTTCCTAAACTCCCCTTTATCCCCGGCCCCGTCGGACTTCCCCATCTCGCAAACTATCCCGAACAGATGCGATCGATGTTATCAATGCGGGTCGAAGCTAAACGGGCTAAAGCAGCGTGTGTATCCAGTAGCGCGAAGTCGCAACACTAACACTAACGGGTGAAATTAACAAAGGCGGACCGCACCGGAAAGTGCACTGTCGGTACGCGAACTTGGTGGATCAGTATCTTGATCGAAAAACTGCCGACTACAGATTCTTAAAACGCATTGAACAATTTTCTAAGATATGCATATCGCATATTAGCTTTCCGATAAGCAGTCAAGGAATTGAGGGATCGATTAGGACAAATGTACTTTTAATGATTCATTTCTGAAACTTGCATTGATGTTAAATAAATACCTACCACACCGATGAGTTAGCACAATTTTTCCGAGAATTGCTATGCGCTTTCTACTTACGTCATTCTTTTTTTCTACCTGACACATTGTTATGTAAATGTTCATAAAATGATGTCGTTAATCCTTGTACGTTAAGTACAAGAAAATTTATGATGGCCGTGAAAAAAAACCTTCACTATAATGACGGTTGGAATTATAAAATTTATTATCTTCCTCTATCTCACAAGATTCCTTAGAAATTTCAACCTGTTTATCTTCTATGGTAATTTATTATCCGTCCTTTGTCAATAATTTTGTCACGCTAATACAAAGAGTGAAAGTCTCTAATGTTTCTTTGAAATATATGGACCGCTACTTTCATTTTACTCCTACGTGCGAGTAAAGAAGGCAAGTGAGGATTATACCGAAACCATCGATATTAAAAAGATTTTTACTTTTAAACATCTAACGGAATAAGCTATATTCGGGCTTAATTTCGGTAATTATTTAAATAAGCAAACCGAATTCTAATAATCTTGATACATGTCAAAGTCATTATCCCAAGTCCTCTTTCTCTTAGTTCCCCGCCAAGACTCCACAAGCCCTTCTCGTAGCTCCACTATTTCCTTTTTCCTTACTTTTCCTCCCTACCTTATCTCTACTTCCAAGTAGTTATCCCTACTTTGATCTTCCCCTACTCTTACCTACCCTACCAGACCTGCCTTTGGACTCTGTAACAGGCCCAAAATTGTAAGGTCTGGTACAGTCTTAGGACGATTGTCTGTGGTGAACAGAACTCTGTGTATCGCTCTCGTTTACATCTCCGCGATTCGTGTAAGTACTGTGATCTGTATAGTGATCAGTGCGAGTGCTAATCTTTACAAGTTGGAAACGTTCCAATATTATACTGCAACTTCGTGTTTTTTGCAGCAGCCTGCAAATTCATTTTCACAGGTAAGAAACACGTTCATTTCTCTTTTAATATTCTACTCGAACTTTTTATCGGATAAATGCAAACTGGATTTCTGATGAGTCTTGTGATAGAAAAATAAACTAAAATAATTAACTAAATAATTTTATAAAAAACGACTCACTTTGGTTCTACTTTCTATTGCGATCAAAAACTCAGCGATATTGAATTTGTCAGCAATATTCCAGACGGGTTACCTATTATCTCGTTCTGACGCTCCACTAATATTTCACTTATAGCATAAAGACACTTCGTCAGAACTAAAAACTTCCATATGTGGAAGAATAATAATTAACGAGATATATCGAAAAAAAATCTAGCGCTTCTTTTCCATTCTGCGAAATTACAGGGTGTTTGAAAGCTTATCATACAGACGAAAGTTGGAGATAAATTGGATGTAGCCGAGAAGAAAAGTCATGTATCATAATGTCAAATTGGCAATAGTTATCGAATTATTAATTGAAACATGTGACCCAATGAGCGCGTAGAGAGCGCTGGGCGGCCGCAGTAAGCACGTAGATATTTGGTATAGGCGGAGTCAACGAGCGTCGATAGGCGAGCGCGCGCGACGAGCGAGCGAGCACGCGCGACGAGCGAGCGAGCGCAAGCGACAAGAGGCGGCCGCCCAGCGCTCTCTACGCGCTCATTGGGTCACATGTTTCAATTAATAACTCGATAACTATTACCAATTTGACATTATGGTACATGACTTTTCTTCTCGGCTACACCCAATCTATCTCCAACTTTCGTCTATATGATGAGCTTTCAAACACCCTGTATAAGTATGTAGACATGCAGGATGTCTGGTGATAAGTTGAAAAGTAAGATAATTCATATATAAGTAGATTACATCGAAAACTGAACAAAAGTTTTACCGTTTACCGTTTACTATTTTGAAAATGGTTACGTAATTTTTAAATTATGAAATAAAGAAAATCGGTCAATGATAGTTTAATTCAATCTACGGACGAAAGAGACAAGC